TCACAGGGCAGATAACAGCATAATTATCATTTTTTTCTGCATTTCTGTGTTATGTTTATTAAAACACTTCTTAATACATTTATGTAACCTTATTAACGTAGTTGCAGCTTCAGTGCTTTACAATTCACATTCATCTTGAGCTGTAGCAGGCCTTTAGAAGAGCTAAAGCACATATATCTTTAAAAAGACAACTCAGAGGAACCAGAAGCAGAAGCTGAAAAGGATTTTTCAATGATCTCTTTATAATTGTGACCTTTTAAAACCTTGCATTCTGCGTTAATCTGCAAGCAGGAAACACAATGCTTTTAGAGAAAATAAACAAAGTAATGCTCTCTACTCCCTCACTGCCCTCTCCCTCCCTTTAAGCATTTCTGCGCATATTAATGACCAGCACTCGATAAGGTCATTGTGATTGCTATTAGTAAAAACCGCCTATAAGAAACATGGACAAAAATGACAATAAAAGTGTAGCTGGTGCTGCTTGCTGAGGCGCTGTCAGTATCAGGAGGAGTGGTGACTGCTGAAGAGAGAAAAACAGAGATGCTGTTTTCATCAGCTATGGCCTAATTTCACACATTAACGGTGATGATGAATGCACAGCAGAATAGAGGAGCAAATTGTTGTCAGATTATTTCTAAATGGAGATGTTGTTTTTGCTCATTGATAGTCAGGATGCAATATTTTTGCTTTTACCGAAAGCATTTCTAAAGACTTATGAGGATGGGTTTATTCTTCTCATTCTGTTTAACACTCATATTTGAAATTTCTGGGTTATTTTTCAAAGTACCTTAGAAAAAAACTTGCTGCTAAGAATGCTATAAATGGTCATCACAAAGACAGCTGAATGACAAAGAAATTAACCATTTAAACGGTGATAATTATATTCCTTTCTGACAGCTGTGCAATTTTTATATTAAAAATTAAGATGTGGAAATTACAAACGTTCAAATGCAGAATTTTAACCAAACAAAAGGATTTAAGTAAATGTGGGTCTTCATATTTCTTTTTACTAAATTCAACAGCTTGTTCACATGTGCTGAGACCAGCAAAACGCAGAAAGTCGTTGATTGAGTGGATATAAAACAACTAAAATCACTTTGGTTCAAATAATTGTTAACTAAGAAAATTAATCTTTATTCAAGCAATTCCCTGTGTAATTTAGCTTTGCACAAGATATAACAATCACTCTTCAGGAAACTTGCCTGCAAAAGAAGATGAAGGTTTTAACAGATGCAAAAACTTTAACTACTTATTTTTTCTATGTTCTTGTTATTATTAGATTTTTCAAAATTCCATTTAGGCAATCTTTAAGGCAATAAATATCCACAGCTCTCGTAACATGTCAGCTGTGTTTTGCTTGCGATTTGAAAGACGGAGATCCACAGTAATCAAAATAGCAAAGTGTGGCTGCAAGTAGTGATGAAGGTCTTCGGTGTAGACGTATCCCCAACAAAAAAGGCCTGACTCAATAATTGTGGACATTTTAAATATAAAAAGGCAAATAATGTCATGACTAGCCACAATAAGATATAATTTTTGAGTCAATAATGCAACAAGTGATATTGTTATTGGAAGATCTTGAAAACTTCTTAAAAATTCAGGCTCATAATGTAACGAAACATAAGTATGATGGTATTTCTTGGAAATAAATACTTGTTGCTCCTGAGTTTCCTTATTGAAAATTATGGATGAAAGACCCAGTATGAAAAGTATGTGTTTATTCATAATAATATTTATTAGCTTGTATATGTATATTTATATTTTTTTAATATAAAAAAAATATTACCTAAAGAGTGAGGAAATTGTTTTTCTATGATTAACAATTATTAGCACATTGTGTTGTAAGCTGAAAATCTTTTTTTATTATTATTATTATTTTTTGTAAGTTATTCCATTTCCACACATTTAAAAGAGACAAACTATTTAAGCAGGTATTATGTTAAGTCTGATTCTCATCATCTGTATTAAGGGCAAATTTACACTGAAAGTAAAAAGAAAAGAAGAAAGAAATTCAATGCATCTTCCAAAGTCAGTGATTCCCTTAATGAGATGGTCAGTCATAGACAGCAGGAAACACATTCATCATCTTCCTTTGATTCTTCCAGCTTCAATCGCTGGACCTTCTTTCAATGCTTTCCCTTTGTTGCTCACTACTGTTAAAGCTGCTTTGATGCAGGGCTGCACACAGAGATCATTGCTTTTATAAAAATAAGTTAGCATTTGGAGGCCAGTTTAGTTGCATCCTGTTTCAAAGCGGCCATTAAGAAACAGAAGGGCAAGAAAGGCAGATTAGATCTTGATATGCCTGACTGTGAATTTATGATGCTTCTCCGTTTGGTTTAGGAAAGGTATTTAATCGTCTACTGATGGCCATAAATGGTGGGATCAATGTACTTTTGTGCTATTTGACGACAGTGCAGCTTTTGACACAATAAAAGCTAACAAGTACTCCTCTGTGAAAGTTTCATTAACCTGTACGGTTCCCTAAAGCTCAATCAATGAGATGTGGGGAACTCCATTATTATTTTCATTTTATATACGTTCCTCAGCAGGTATTATGTCTTCATCATCAGTTGAAGGTATTTTTTTTAACTACAGCTGTTCCTCGGTTCATTTACTGAACTAAACTACCAACACAAGTTAAAAATGGATTGTCTGATAATGATCCTTTTAAATCCCACTAAAATAGAATAAATACACTCATACATGCAAGCAGTTGACTTTCCCTACACTCTGACTAAGAGCATTACGGCAAACGTTTGAGACTATTGTAATGCTGAGACTTGACAAAGCTCCTCTAAGATGTTCATGAATTATACAGAATGGTTTAACCAGCTTTAAAACAGTAAAGATCAGGATAAACACTCGTTCTTCATCTGTACAGCAATGACTGGTCAGGTACCAGTTCATCTGACTAAATGTCTAACAAAATAGTTTCTCATTCTCTCTGTTCAAGTAATCAAGTTTTCTTACTTATCTGTGGTATAACTCTATACAGATTAATTAAAGGAGATCAAGACTTTCAGGTTGTAGCCTCCATGTTGTGAAAAAGCTTTGCAGCACAGTTTTGTTTAGTGGACTTTTCGCTGGACTCTTTTTAAAAAATAATAAACTATTTAGTCTGGCATTTGCTAATTGCTTCTTCCTGTTGTTAGAGTCTGTATCTACTTTCATATTGATGTTCCTACATTTTTCGTTTGTTTTATTATTATTTTCTATCCAGCTTGTGTAACAGTTTTTGTTTTTTATGTGCCTCCCATTTTGATCAGCTGACTGCTCATGTAACTTCTCTTTTATCATAAGCCACCTATAATCTTGCTCATCTCATCCAAGGTCATCCTCACTCCAACTGGGAGAAATTGGGAAAGAAGTAAGCAAAAGAAAAAAGCAAGGAAAATAATTCAATAAGTCTTAGAGCAACCAATCCATTATCAAGGACATGCCTCTGCTCCCTTTCTTTAAACTTCCTCCCCTTTGATTTCTTTCACTACAATTACCTGCTCTATTGCTGTAGCTGTGGTTATTCTGCTGATGGAAAAGAAATATATGTTAGACAGGAACCTAAGTGAAAATAAAGTATTAATGCATTGTGAATGAGTCTAGTTTTTCTGACAGAGATGAGTTTAACTGAAATGCATTAAACTGCTGGAAAATAGATTTTTTTTTCTACAGAATTTCTTCAAGATATGATTGCAAAACTTCCTAACATTTTCTCTGTAGCTATAATAAGTGTGTCATTGAATGAAGAAGCTCTGTCTCTTCAGATTAACCCCAGAATCTCAGTGTGAAATGATCATCCTAATGGTAGGGGTCCGAGTTCAGAAAACCCATTGCATACTCACCCACTCCAGATTCTGAGTGTTTCTTATAGCTTCTTTCACCAGAGCACATCTGTAATTGCGTTAAAATACTCTGGTTAAATGAAGCACAAAGTTTCAATCTACGGAGGACAACGGAGGGTCGCAGTTTCTGCAGAGAGGACATGTCCCTGCCCTTGATTCATACTTGATTCATTAAATTATGAATAAAATCACAGGGGCATGAAAATACAGGCAGGCCATCTGTATTAATCTCTCCACAGAGTATGTCTGTGAATAAAAAAAAAGTGTCCTTCAAGAGACAATGAAAAATTGATGTCATATCTTATAGTGCTGAGAAGAAAGCTTGTGCTGCTGCAGCTAAAATAAAGTCCTTTGATATTTTTTGCAGCAGTATTGGAGTTATTCAGTTTTGGTCAGCCTAATGCATTACTGTTAAAAAAGACCTTTAAACTCCTGTCATATTTAATCTAACACACATTTCTTGAACCTCAATATGAAAGAGGAAAAGACATTTAGAGGAGACCAAGACTCCATCAATAATTAAAACAACAATTCACAATAGACATATGTCATGTTTAAATTAGAGGTCACTACAGATAAATACTAAAAGTAATAATCAATATAGAAAAATCCTTACATGTACACATTTAGATTGTATTCATTTCTTAGTAAATGAGCAATGTCATGTGTATTATTTGTTTATATTTTTAATAAGCTATATTATAATGTCAAAATCGTGTTGATCCATTTGACTGTAGCCTTACAATTTGGGATATTTCAAATGACCTAACCTCTACAGAACTAAATCTAAAATATCTTCACAATATTTAAAAAAGGACATAAAATATTATCTTGTCCATAAGACATAAAACTTTTATTCTCTAAAATTATTTCAGAAATTCAAAATGCGTTTGTGCTTGTCGGAGCATCTAGACTGATTAATCAAATAACAGTTCTGTAATTTATAATTTTTTTTTTTCAAGCACAGCAGCGCCTGAATTCCAGGATGACATTTCCCATGCTGTTTAACATAGAGATATAAACAGGGAGTGAGTGTGAGCTGTTCTCTCCATGTAAGGATATGCAGCAGTGGGAGTTGATGTGTTTGTAAAAAAAAAAGATGTTCTTTGGAGAGCTTCGGTCTGCGATCTGACTCATGTTCTGTCAGATTCTGTTGATAGATGGTTCGTTCCAGCATGCTGTATTAACCCGAATCCACTTCAAGTCTTGTGTTTCAGCTTGTGCTGCTGTCGCTGTCCAGCAGCACAGGCATTCATTTAAACGTCTCTCTCCAGTGCAGCTCTCCCCAACCAGAGGCTGACCCCGGATGAATCTGCTGATATGGGAACTTTCCGATTGAGATGATTATCTGGACTTTGCAGTCTGTGGAGATTGCTTGAATTTCCTGACTCAGTTTGAAGTTTACATTCTTTGCGTGCTGCTGCCGAGGTAAGAAGTCTTAACTCTATTTCACTTTTTTTGTTGTTGTTTCTTAGACTACTTTCACTGAGTCTGTACAAAAACAGAGGCAACTTTATTAGTTGACATTATCTTAGAGAGATGAGTGAATACATTTGATGTTATTCTACAAACTGAAAACCAAAGGTCATTTGAATTTCAGAAAATAAGGTCACAATTTATGGGATCAAGAGCCCAAATTGTGGAGTGAGGGACCATGTTTTAGAGATACCACTGTTAAATCTTGCAGTTGTTACATAACTAAGTTTCTGTTTGTTTTTGTTTTGTTTAGAAGTATTTATGTATGAGCAACAACATGTGGGTGTGGTCAGGGTGGGGAAGTCTGCTTCTCCATCCTGTTACCAAAATAGAGATTTGCAGAAATCAGGGAAAAAAATGAAGCAAATTTGATCAAATTGTTAATTTGTCACCTGATTTGTTAGATTGTTTTTTATGAACATGCTGGCAGAGGCGATTGTTGAAATGAGTGGTATGATATATTGTTCCTGTTTGTTTATATGCTAGCATTAACACTACACCACAGCCGGGTATTATGGGAAGTTAGAAAAGTACCAAACTGAGTGTGTTTACATGAAAAGTTTAGATTATTTATGACTTCTTTATCATTTTTGCCTGTAGTTCACTGTTGTGGGCTGTTTGGTAGTTTTCAACGTTCAGCTGTCGCCTGTTTGATATTTGCGTATTTTTTGCTGTGGAACGTGACTCTAATCAATTTGTGGAAAACCTGTCTATTAATGGATTTTATTTCAAGAGAGCATATCTAAGCATATTTTTTTAGCTGGTGTTTTGAAAACAACCAATCCAGTAGTGGTATTTATTTTCCTTAATACAGATTGGCTGCACCCACAAGAGCAGATAAGAGGAAAACCGTTAATGCTAGCTTTGTTAGTGCTAATGCATAATTAATGCATAGTAAGGTTGATTCAGAGTTTGAACCATTAAAAAAGAGAGATAAAAGTGTTTTAGAGGGGATGTCAAGTGTTCATAAAATAGAACAGGGTTCAGGGGTTCACTGTTCTGCCACATTCAGAAATATGGAATGACTGTGTAAACTTTAAATTAACATATTTATGACATTTGCTTGTGGTACATCTTTACTTGTTTCCTGACAATCATGTTTTTTGTTGTTCTGTCAAGAAACGTATTTTCAAAAAGAAATAATGTTGTTTATATTTGAAACAACTGACCACAGCTTAAAATCGTTACAGAACGTTGGCTGGAGAATGTGAGTGTGTATTTTCTTAATCATGCTTCAAGCAATAAAAAAAGGAGATTCAGCTCAGCGATAAAAGTGATTTAATACTCAAGTTGTGAATACACATAAAAGGCTTTTGCATCTGTTAGTTCTTTGCTTGTAATGTTGGCCACCATCGATTTGATCATCTGACTTCGGAACATATGTTCTGACAGAAAACTAAGAAAAATGCAACAACCTCCCATCAGCTCATTATTTTGTTTGTTGCTTGTTGATGTTCACTCTCTTCATAGTACTTAACTCCAGCCAAAATGTTCCTCTCCACATTTTATTTATAAACTCTCATCAGACAGTACATCCAGGCTGAGACTTTTTCAAACAGAATTCCATGTTGTTAAGGAATTCCTGTTTTCTCAAAACAGATAAATGGAGAGATAAATATCAAGAGACGTTTTGTTAACACTGTCTGAAACTGCAATAAACATTTATAAGCTCTGCTGAGTCGCCTTCTGTGGAGTCTCACTTCTGTGACAGTAACTTCCTGCACTGAAACAGAGCTTTGGGTTAGAAAGCTGACGCACAGCAGCTGTTGTGTTTCAGGAAAAATGACCGGAATCGATTCAGTCGCGGTAATGATTTCATGGGTCATCATCCTGACGGTGTTCCAAGCCGCATCGCCTCAACCTGCTCCACCCCGAGGACCCAGGCCCGTACCTGGAAGAGGAGACAGTCCGGAACCAACACCGACTCCGCTGCCGCCAGAGCCCACAACAAGACCAGAAGGTTGTGAGAGTGAGTTATTTCAATTCAATTTTAGGTCAGAAACTGCAATATCCACTTTTCTGGATTTGCCTTGAAGGACTTGAGGTCGTTTTGATTTATATTTAATTTGCCCGTTTTATATGCAGTGCTGGAAGTATCCAGTGGAAATAAAAACGTAGATGGGTTAAAAGTGCAATAAAGTTTGAGCACGACTGAACATGAAATAGAGATGGTAAAGAAGGATGAAGGAGGCATTCGTCTGCTTCTAAAACACATTGCAAAACAGCATTAATTGCACTCTATGGATGTGAATTTACTGTAATTTAACCAGACAAAAGAGTTTGAGTTATATGAATGTGAAAGGCCTTATTTGTGCTATAATTTATTAGATGATTCACACTAATGCCTAAGAGCAGCATGTAATTCATGCTCTGTCACCTTGAGGCTGAGCTCATTTTAAACCAGGAACACAAAGCTTGTTTTGTACAGACTGATGTTCCAAGACTCACAATGAAAATGAACCTTTTCAAATCATTGCAGGCGTTATATGCACTTTCATTTTCATGCAAAAAATCCTAATAGCATAAAGGTTGCAGAATCTATATTGGAAGTTTCCCATGCAGCCCAGCAATATGAAAAGGCATGAAAGTGAAATTTAGGAATTTTATGGTTCTTGAAAAATAATTGGATTATCAGGCTTCATTCTGTCGCATTCTGCCAGTTGTTCTATCATTCCATCTGTTCATTCAACCATGTTTGTTCAAGGTACTAATAATTATACATAATGTGTTCATCTGGCATTCATTCATGCAGCTATTTAATCATCAATCCATTCATTATTCTATCCATCATTACATCTGTTTTCCACCATCTGCTATACTTTTATTGTTTTCTATTGTGTAGTCTTTTTTTTGCAGGTTTTATGTTCAAATTCTGACCACTAAAAACATATCTGCCATGGATTTATTATTAACTTTTGCATTTACATATAAGAACTTTGCATTTTCGAATATATGGTCTGAAAAAGTGTGCAATTTTGATATAAAAAAGTGTGTAGGAACCCTAATTAAACATTTTTTAGAGCATAACAAACTACATTGCATCTTGCCCTATTAGTACCTTATCGGTCATTAATGTTAACAAAAATCCTTTGTGACTTATTTACATTTTTGTTGGCATCTTCCTGTCCAGCAACGATCATCGACTGTCCCATCAAGCTGTTTTTCACCATTGACACCTCAGAGACCATCGCCCTGCAGGAATCTCCGCCCGGGAGTCTGGTGGAGAGCATCAAGGAGTTTATGAAGATATTCGCCCAGAAACTCGAAGACGAGGAATACAGGGGCCAGATCCAGATCACTTGGTCCTTTGGGGGATTGCACTTCTCTCAGAAGCAGGTGTTGTTCAGTCAGTTCACGACCAGACAGAGCTTCATCAGGAATCTCAGTCAGATAAAATACCTGGGCAAAGGCACCTACATCGACTGCGCTCTCACAAATATGACCCACCAGATGACATACTCAGGGACACAAGCTATCCTGTTCTCAGTGGTCATCACGGATGGTCACGTGACGGGGAGTCCGTGTGGGGGGATCAAGGTGGCAGCTGACAGGGCTCGGGATCGAGGGATCCACATTTTTTCAGTAGCAGCCTCCAGAAGTGTCGATGAAGTAGGGATGAGGGAGATAGCCGGCTCACCCACAGAGGTGTACCGAGACGATTACATTGTCATGGAGATTGTTAATGGAAGACCGAGGATGAACACTGAAACTATTGATCGCATCATCAAAGTCATGGTGATCTGAGATCTTATTTTTTCTAAATACTTTCTAAAAGATTTTATTGGTAGAAGAAACCTGCCTGACTGACTGCTGCTTTTGTTTTTCAGAAATATCAGGCATATCTACAGGTAAGACAACTTAAAAAAATAATGATTGATTCATGAAAACGTCACTTCATTTGTTCTAGTCCCAAGGTTTTGAAGAAACTGTTTCTTTACTTGTTTACCTAATGATTTTGAATCCCTTCCCTAATATTGAACTTAAATAACTACCTGGTAGAGTTATTATGCTTTGATTTGAATCTGTTATATATATATATCTATATCTATATATATATATATATAGATATAGATATATATATATAGATTAATAAAACTTAAATGACCTCAAAAAGGATGTTAGGACTCATCTCATCGTGTCATTTACTTTTTTTTTTTTACTATTTTATTAAGCAATAATAATTTGTCCTCAGAGATATAGCCATACCCTCAAGCTAAAAATATATAGCTCTACTTAAAAATCACAGAAGATCCAACGTGCTTTTAAATGTATAAACAATGAAAGCTTCAATCCACAAGTAGTTTCTTAGTCTAACTTACCCCACACTATGCTCATGAAAAATGTGTTCTTCTGTTCAAGGCTCATCAAAGATTAATGAGGTTGGTCAAACATTTTGAAATGGGATCACCACTGTTTTCACAAATGAGCTAGTTCTTTATAATCTTAAAACATATCGCATAGGAAGATGCAATGCCATAGAAAAACACCACATCAGCATCACTTTACTCTGCACTGAACACTACAGGAGACACAATAAGATCACCAGATAACCCAGGCCTGCCACAGGTTTTTGTATTTGTTGAACAATTCTTTTACACAAGCACTGTGGGTCACACACGCCATGTACATTTAATGTGTTTGCAACTTTGAGAGAATCCACTCAACTGTGACTCAGCATGGTTTAATCTCTCACCACACTGTGCTGTCTGCACTGATTTCTATCACCTCAGTGTGCCATATGCTTGAAACTGAAACTAAGGGCCCGATCTACTTTCAAAATAATGACATTTCATTCCCACACATTTGAATGATCCCAAAGTATTAATAAAATAAAACTAGAGGGTGGCATCACAGGACAAAGAAACATACCCCATCCTGATGCAGGAGCATGGGATATACAGTGAATTCCACATCCTTGATCCCAAAACACATACATCATTCACAACAAGAGTGCATAGTTCAAAGGATGTTTCACAAAATCCATCTAATATTCTTATATTTAGACCTCTTGTGTTTTATAATTTACATGTACAGTGTCCATACAAATATTTACTTCGAAGATTGCTTTTGTTTTCTACCATATTTTTTTTCATAATTGTATTTGAAATGCTTGTATATTGTTTAAAAAGTGGAACCAAAGTTAAATTTCTTGTTTCTGCGCGCTGATATGGCCAGTGAAGATAGTTCTCATTTGGTGATTTATAAGACAAAGTAATCAAAAATGCTGACACAAATCTTTTGTCCACCTGTTGACAAAGCTCTGCCTGGTTATGAACTGACATGAATCCAGCAATCTATCCCCTCAAACTGTTCAGCACAATATCCTTCAAAAGCAATGGCACCTCAGTGCAATAATTGTTTTTCGAGCTGCATATCACCACTGAACCCATATTGCCCTGTGGGTTTTCTTCTGACAACCGGTGTGTTGCAAATGTTCAAATATTCAGATTCAAAACAAAAACAGGCAATGAGTCTATAGAAGAAAATAGTAGAGCACTTGACAAAAGCCAACCTACACCAATAGAAGACCTGCTTGTGGATTATTTGCTCATATTTGTTGAAAAAAGAGAGAACATAGTTTCTAATCAGGAATTAAAACTTAAATGTATGTAGAACATTTAATGTGGAAACACTTACTTAGTTTCCATTATTTTAATTGAACAGTAGAGATACCAGGTAATTGTCATATATGAAGCAAAACATTCATTCCTCATAAGCATACAAACCAATGCTTAATGCAGAAAAACATTTTAAAAACTTCTATGGTGTCTATTTTTTATTTTTTATTTTGAAATAATGTTTTGTTTATTTATTATGAATTAATTTATTTTTGTTTTTCTTCTACTTGCAGTGTTATAAACCTACATGCCTTGAAGTCCCTGGGATCCCAGGACGAAAAGGGGCCTCAGGTCCAAAAGTCAGTATGACGACTGCTATTCTAGTTTTCATGTTTTGTCTCCTGTTTTGCAAAAACGTTTATTTTGCTGGAAAATGAAAGGTTTTTTGCTGGAAATTTTTCTAGGGCATTAAGGGTGACAGAGGCATCAAAGGACCAAAAGGTCATAAAGGTAACCAGGTATGCCTGAGAATGCATCAAATCTAGTAAAAAACACAAACAAAACAAAACAAAATAAAAAGAACTTGTGATTTTATTTTTTTAATTTTCAATGACAGCTCACTTTTTAATAAAATGTTCCAATTCAGGGTGATCCTGGGATTGAAGGTTCCATTGGACAACCTGGTCTAAAGGTTTGGTGAAGCTCACCAAATATTTATACATTTTTCATTTATTTATCTTTATAATTTGTCCCTTCTTGCTTGCCCTCAGGGAGAAATTGGTTTTATTGGTGAAAAGGTGAGATTTTCCAAAACTTTCTGATTATGTGCCAGTGATGGAAAGAAAATACCAGCTGTAATTAATTTATTTCTTTCAAACAGGGTGAAATGGGATTAATTGGAGCAAAGGTATAGTAACATGTTAATGCTTGGCTACACCACTCGTTTTTAGACTTTGAAAATTAATTGTGTTTGTTATTTCTTGCAGGGTGCGATGGGTTCACCAGGAAGGAATGGAACAGATGGACAAAAGGTAAGTGGTGACGCATGTTGCTTTTTCAAGGCACGGGGCACTAGACACATGTTCACTGACCTGTGGAAATTTCAGGGTAAAATTGGTCGAATTGGAGCTCCTGGCTGCAAAGGTGATCCAGGTGAAAAGGTGAGTCTTGTGCTTTCACTGAAATCTGCTTTTGTGTATTGATCTCATCGTAGTTACTGCAAGACAGAACACAATCACTTCTGCCATGCTGCACGTATAAATCAATCAGATGGTGTTTTACTTTATCATAAATCGCCCAAAGATGTCTAACTCATTCAATGCCTGTTTTTAAGGGACCAGTTGGATACCCAGGAGACCCTGGGGACTCTGGATTATCTGGAAAAACAGGAGAAAAGGTGTGAAAAAGAAGTCTGAGTTTATACAATTTTAGTCTGGAGAAAGACAAGGTAAAAATAAATAAATAAATAAATACAATAATAAAAGAACAGCTCAAAAATGCATAGATAACACAAGGCAAGGCTGGGGATTCAGAATTTCTTGGATTCACAGTGAAACAGTCAGGATGTTGGAATAGCAGCCTGGACCATCAACTTTTTATGGCGATTGTCACTTGTTTAATAGGCAGAAAGAACATTTCCAGTTTGAGCACAACTTTTGAAAGAGAAAGTGCCACATAGGCAAACCAATGTATTTCTACTAGTTTTGTGCTTTGAATACCAAAGGAAAGGCAGGATGTGATTTATTTATTGTTTTATATTTTTAAAATTTCAACATCTTCAAAACATGATTAAGTGAGTTCTTTAAAGCAAACATCCATATTCAGTATTCTCTATGTCCATGTCCACTGCTTTAATCTAATTGTGTCATTGTCTTTGTTGATTCAGGGTGATACAGGTCTCCCTGGGAAGATAGGCCCTCAAGGCCCTGTGGGAAATCCAGGATTAACGGTAAATTTTAGTTTGAAACACAGCAGAATAATAAAAAAATACAGCCACTAACCTGACTTACCATTTCTTAGGGTGAAAAGGGAAATTCTGGAAATCCAGGATCACCTGGAGAAAGAGGGCTTCCGGTATGTATCATAGATTTATTTAAATATCCTACAACATAAATTATTGGTAAAGTGATGACTATTATAGTACATTTGTGTTTCTTTCAGGGGATCAGTGGCAAACCAGGACAGAAGGGCGAACTGGTACTTCAAGCACTATTTAAAAGTTCTGTTCTTGAGTTGTAAAATTTTGACATTCATATTTTATCAAACGTCAACAGGGCAGCAGAGGAGATCCTGGAAGGAAGGGGGCGCCAGGACAAGATGGGGCCCCAGGGCCAAAGGTGAGTTTCACATCGAGAAAAATCAGTTGTCATCTACCGATGACATTTAAAGTTCTGGATTTTTAAAGCAGATATATTCTTTTTTCAAACTGAGAAAAGTTAGGAAACCAAAACCAAAAATAAATACTAGAGAACTTCTACTGCAGAGAGTCTTGGTAAACTATGCAGTGTTTTTCTTTCTTTCTTTTTTTTATGCAAAGACCATGAAAGAAGGAGGGTTTCTGCTGGTGATCTGAAACTCTGTTAATCTTTTGAAATACTGACAAACAGCATGAAATTCTTTTGACATGAGTTTTCAGCTGTAGAAGTACAGAAAATATCATGTTTTTCACATTTTCTGCACAACTCTACACCCCCAGAGAGCAGAACCTCCTCCTGTCGTGATTTAGTTATGCAAAGCATCAGATCATTTCTTTGAATTTTGAGGAAGATTCTTGTTCTGCTCCCATTTCTTTAGTCAGCGATTATTTATTATTTAAAATTCTCACGCAATATTTCTTTGAAGGGTGATCGAGGAGCATCGGGGGACAGAGGTCGACCTGGGGAGGATGGAGTTAGGGGTGCGAAGGTGAGAAGTTCACAGTGTGGGGGGGCTTTGGCCAGAGAGGCAACCCAGAGCCGTGTTACACATCATATAATGAAGCTACGCCTTTACGCACGGCGGATCAGCCAAAACAACTCCAGCTGAGTCTGGTATTTGGAAAAAGAGGCCTTTCTCCAGAGAAAACACAATCCTTTTGAAATGATCTGGCCTGCGTAGTCCACTGCCAAATTCCCATCCACATGAGTAATTCTGTTTGTGGGAGCGAGAGTCAAGGTTAAGTCTGGTGAAAGCATTTCCATTAATGTTTTCAGGGAGACCAAGGACTACCAGGACCAAGGGGTTGGCCAGGAGAACCAGGCAGCGCTGGAGGAAATGTGTGCAGTTTATTATTATTAACAGATTAATAGTTAAAGTTCATGAGCTGATAGAGCCATTAACCTTTGACACTGTAGGGCACAGTGGGGCCTCCTGGAGACCCCGGACTCAGAGGAGACCCTGGACCACCTGGACCGCAGGTGAGAAGATCAAGTTTTAACTCTAAATGTTATAGTATTTACAATTTTTAAATATTTTAAATTTAATGGCATTTTAATTATTTTGAGGTCTTAAATCAAAATCAGTAAAAACTGTATTCAGATATTTACCACTCTGAAAAACTAGTATGCATAAAGAAGACTTAAACTTTCCGATCACAATGGCCACCAATGAGTTTGGAAAAATGTGAAAATGTATGTGGTTATATTTCCAGTGAGGAGGAGAAACTCTGGAGCCAGTAGTTTGGACTGGGCATGTTGCTAATGTGGATTTTCAAATCTAATGTTGAGTGTTGGATGCTCATAAATAGTCAGTCTGTTTTTAAAAATCTATATTTTCAAAACGCAGCTAATTTCACATGTGAACATGTTTGTTTTAGCATTTGATGCTAAAAAGTGACCATGGATATATCATGTGTAGTTCATGTACAGTACAGTACTTCTTAAACTTTCACCTATAAGACTGCTGACTTATAGGTGAAACTGCTTCAACTGTGGCATTATACAATCTTTTTCCCGTGTGATAGTTTTTTTAAAGTCACGATGATCCAGCAAAAGATTCATAATCTTGTGACAAAAAGTGGAGCAAGCAAAGTTAGTTCCCACACCTCATTTTCATTAAGTTGACTCAATTTTCCAGCATGGCTGGGACCTTGGGGAATGTATGAGTGTTCACTCCATCCTGTACTGCATTCCTACAATAAGAAGCAACATATCCTGTTAGAACGATCTCTTTAGAAAGAATCAATTCTGTTGACAAAATTCACTTTTGGTAATTCTCCTCTGAAGCTGGTTCACTATCACCCTCTGATGATTTCTATTGTCACTCATTTACTCAACAACAAAAAAAGTCCTAATTGTGAGTTTTTTATTTATATTGCATAAATGAAATTATGCTGTTAAAGCATTAATAACAAAAACCTAATCTTTGTATATAATACAAATATTTAACATTCAACACTGTCCTGGTTTAAAGGGAGACAATGGCAGACCAGGATTCAACTACCCTGGACCAAGAGGACCAACAGTATGATTTTTTTCTGTTCATATAAAATTTCCTTCAGGTTTTAGATGCACAAGTAAAAGTGAATTTTGTGCTTCACAGGGAGAGAGAGGAGATCCGGGCAAGAGAGGACCCAGAGGGGACAGAGGTCAATGCGGTGCAAAAGGGGAGACAGGAGCCAAAGGAGCACCAGGAGAGCCTGTAAGAATAAATACACAATGTCTTTAATGGAAGGGAAATTTACGGTTTAAACAGAGATGCTGAGCAGATAAGCTGAAACTAATGTCTATACAGTTCTGCTAAAACAGGGAAAAGCTCTTATCTCAAAACTGAATGTTGTGCAGACTGTTCTGCCTCAAATACTTGGACTGCTGAATGCACACAGCAGAAGAAGTACTTAAATGAAACTATGTACATCGGTGTAACAATCACGTTTTCAGGGCCATGTTAAGTATTTTAACTCAAAGGGTGATTTTGTTTAGATGAAGTTTTTAAAACTGATCATGCATTAATTAACCTATGTTGTTGCACCAAATACGTCTAAATCTGTAAATTTATTTTATTTTGTCAATTTTAACTAAATCCTTAATTATGTCATCTTTGTCCTTGTTGATTTTTGATCAGTCCCTAAAGACAACTTTGAATTTTTGCATGAATATATTCATGAAAATTCTACTTTCAAATCAAAGAAGTTATATAAAAGAAAAATCAATTAATAAATAGGAAATTTATGCACTTGAAGAAGCTACTATTTTGTAAAACAGACTTGAATTCAGTTTAAAAGGTCGCCTAAATACATCTTTCCTAAAGAATAGTTACTACAGTGGCCAGTTAGTCAAAGGTGTTGATGTAGACTTGCACAAAAACTACATTACTGGCCTTTACTTAGTCACTCCATATGCAGCCACCTACTGGACAACCACTATAAGATCACAAAATTTGTATTTTAACTCTCGTGGCTGGCCTTATGACAATCTTATAAGCAAAAAAATATTACTAACATCAATTAATTATGAAAAATACTATTGGAAAAATGTTGTGCAAATAATCCTTTGTCCATTACTTGAGTTTCAAAGACTTAAAAATGATTTTGCAGCCATTCCCAGATTGTCCTCTGCTATTGAATGTCTTTAGATCAGAGATTGGTGTGTAGCTATTTGAGATGTTTTAGCCTACTTCATGTTGTCATGCAGTTTCTATTTAAGTGATTTCTTAATTACATTCCATTTTGTCAGTTAATTAGTGATTTAAAGGAGGAGTAGCTGTCTTATCACATCTGGGTTGGTTTCAGCATCTGAAACATTTATAGTGACCAAAAAAGCTAAAGAAATCTCAGGTTGAAATAGATCCCTTAAATATTATCACAAAAGAAGAAACAGAAAATAGTCATTAAAAAAGACAGAAAACACTGTGGAGCTTCTTTTTTAGACATGAAAACAAGGATTATCATCATCATCATCATCATCATTACTGCCGTCTGTTTCTTTGTGATATTTTTTGCAATGAAACAGATGCAATTTATCTTCTGTACTGTCCATGTGTAGTTCATGGACAGTTCAGTACTTCTTCAAACAAGGAGCAAAATCAATGACGACAACGCTCCACCTTCTGTAAAAAATGACTTTAGCTGAGCACTTTATACATATGCAGAGAATGAGTCACTACTACTTAAAACATGCTTGGTATGAGGTATGAGTCACTTCACCAGAAAAATATTTTGCATTCAGGGTGAACCAGGCCAGCCAGGAGAGCCAGGAGAGAGAGGACCCCAGGGAGACCCTGGAAAAGATGTAAGAAACAGCAGCGGAACCACTTCAGTAATTACCTGACCATGCATAAAGATTTCAGATCTGATATCTCCGCTCTGTGTTTGTCATGTGCTTGTGCAGGGGGGTCCAGGACCAGCTGGGGATCCTGGGCTCACTGTAAGTCAAACTGAAAAATACCATGAATAAAAGTAAGCTCTCTATATTCTTTTAAACTGATTATCTCTAACCCGTCTTAATGTTATTCCAGGACTGTGATGTTATGACGTACATCAGGGAGACATGTGGTTGTTGTGGTAGGCAGGGAGACGTGATCCTCATTCCAACACAGCTTTGCAGATATCATCTTTAAACATGCTGAGCCACTTGTTGCATTTTCTTTTCTTTTTTTCTTTTCACTCAGACTGTGAGAAACATTGCGGTGCTCTGGACATTGTCTTTGTGATTGACAGCTCTGAGAGCGTTGGGATGACCAACTTCACTCTGGAAAAGAACTTTGTTATTAACACCATCAACAGGCTGGGATCAATGGCCTCTGACCCCACATCTCCAACTGGTACAGAATAACATCCAAGCCTTTTCTAAAGAAAAATCAATACAGTGATCATGTGTCAAACTGTTGGGAATGTTTCAATGATTTGAAAGTCAGAGCCTATTGTTTTCCTACTGAATATTACGTTAAAACTTTGCTGTTATTTTCACAATATGATAAACTACATCTAAATTATCTCTGGGTTCTACATCTTTATACAAACACAAGAATACAATACAATGTGACTTATATCTGAAATAATATAAAGTTTATAGATTATTTCGAATGTACAACAAAAGCTAAATTTCGGAGTAGTTTTTAGGTGAACATGCTTTTTGTGCAAAATATTGTAGCTTTTTGTCATTCTGTATCAAAAGTACAACCACACAGTTTTGCAGATATCATCTTTAAACATGCATTGGGTTTTTTCACTTTTAACACTACCTCAGAGTTCTACTCAGAAGTTGTAATTTCCAGGTTTCGTGTTTAAAAAATGAAACAGAATGGACCCTGAAGGGGGAATCCTTGATTTGAACATTAGAAGTGTCCCGCTAACTCCAAATTTAGATTCAATATGTTTTCCACAGAAATATAGTGAAAGTTGTTACAGGATTAAACAGTTCATTTGCACTTCTGACTCTTTTCTATCTTATTAACCACTGCTGATGTAGTGCCAAACAATCCTTGTTTGTAAAAATTCTCTTGATGTCTAAATGCACATAATGAAGATTAACTAGTTGGTAGTTCGCCTTGCTAATTGTTGTTAGTGATAAAACACTTAGCAAATTTAACAACTTTTGCAATTTACTGGCTTAGCTGTGGCATCATCTCAAGATTCGGTTTTAAGCTTCTGAAGCCACAGCAGTCTACCACAGTTGTGGGTCAGAGATTTGGGAAAACTCTGTAGCTTTTTAGCAATGTTCAATTGAAAAAAATTAAGCCTTTTAGTGACATATTTACAGAAAACAGTTAAAGAAGTTTTATCATTATAAAAATACCATTTACTTATACTAGCAACTTGCAATTAATCTACAGTGACCGTGTTTTTCAGGTACAAGAGTTGGAGTGGTACAGTTCAGTCACGAAGGAACGTTTGAGGCCATACGACTCGATGATCCTTCAATAGACTCCATGTCTTCATTCAAGACAGCAGTGAAGAATCTTCAGTGGATTGCTGGGGGCACATTTACACCCTCTGCACTCAAGTTTGCCTATGATAACCTAATAAGGGACAGCAAGAGAGCCCGTGCCAAAGTATCTGTAGTGGTAGTTACAGACGGTCGCTTCGACCCTCGTGATGATGACAGTAAGCTCAGGTACCTCTGTGATGACCCCAATGTGGTGGTGAATGCCATTGGGGTTGGTGACATGTTTGACAAGGAACATGACAGTGAGACCCTAGTATCAATAGCCTGTAACAACAAGAACCGCATCACTGAGATGAAGCAATACACAGACTTAGTGGCTGACAACTTCATTCAGAAGATGGAAACAGTTCTCTGTCCTGGTAGGTCTCTCTATCCATTCTCCTTTTGGTATTTGCCTAAACTTCACTGAATGTCTGTTTACTATTCCAGATCCAGTGATTAAGTGTCCAGACCTTCCTTGCAAAACTGGTGGGTTTTATTTATGGTTAGGTTACTGATGTAATGGTAAAATGAAGAGAATGTCATTGAGTAAGCAATGACATTCCTCTCTCATTACAGAATTTGATGTAGCTCCATGTGTTGGACGACCCATAGACCTGGTGTTTCTTCTCGACGGTTCGGAGCGCCTTGGGATGGAAAACTTTGGCCATGCACGTCATTTTGTTCAAATGGTTGCAAATGCATTGACAATGGCCAAGAACAGAAATGACCAAAACGGGGCTCGTCTGGCACTGACAGAGTTTGGCAATGAGAATGAAAACCAAGTGGCTTTTCTTCTTACACACGACCAGAAGGCTATCACTTCTGGTCTATCAGGTTTACATTATCTTGATGCGTCGTCAGCAGTGGGGCCTGCCATCTTCAAAACCATCAATGAGATTTTGGGTAAAGGACCCACTCGCAAGACGAGACGTGGTGCCGAGGTTTCATTTGTTTTCATCACAGATGGTATTACTAACATCACCAACCTGGACGAGGCAGCTTCTGCAATGCGCAGGGAACACATCTTTTCCACTGTGATTGCCACGGGAAGTGACGTGGATGAAGAAGTCCTAACAAAGTTGGCTATGGGTGACCAGACTGCCATCTTTAAGAATCAGAAATTTTCTGATCTGTTACAGCCTAGTTTCTTTGACCGTTTCGTCAGGTGGGTGTGTTAAAGACTGTCCTCATTGTGAGTGTCGTACTGGTGTTACTGCTCTGTGCTCTGTTCTGTTTAACAGTTGATCCAAGTTGAATTCACCCTTGTATTGCTCTCAAAAATGCTGATTAATGTCACCTCAGTCAGAGATTAACAGGAACAATAATGTGCAAAACCTGAAATATTTGGGGAGAGGTTTCTAAAGAACTCAGCTCTTACCAGCACTGATTTTCTTTGTGTTCAAATATAAAATAAAAAGAAATGAGCCAATGGTGAGAGATAACTGACAAAGACTTTCGATACCTCTATATTGTCTACCCAAATTGTTTTAAGTAAACATTTTTCTGACATTTTTTTCCTTCTTCCAAAAATATAAAATTAGGTTTGCTTCGATTTATCTGTCAAATGGTCTATTTCGTTTTCCAGTTGCAAGAAACTCAAACTTTAAACAAAACCTATCATAAATAAGGGTAAATGATTTCCGTCAAGTTGTTAGCCAGTAAAGCAATTTATTTTTCCAAATACTTGCAAATTCATCTCCAGACATGAACCCTAATGATATAGCAAAATTGGCTAAATATCTATGACAGGTTATTCAGTCACTTAAAATGTTCCTGTTTTTAGTGCTTGTGCACATAATTGTCTGTTTCCCTGTGATGATGTGTTGCGACCTGTCCAAGGTTCAGCGCCATAGATAGACACCAGCCCCTTTGCAATTCTAGCATTTGAATGAATAAAATCTCTTAGCATTTTGAAGAGTTGTTTTGAGATGGTGAAAATCAGTTTTGGTCTAGTTCTTTCTCCGTCCAGCTATAAAATTCACCCTCTGATCAATTAATATGGATTTATACCAATTGGAAACAATATAAAATATCCAATACATGCAAGATATTAACCGCTTTTAATGTTTTTAACAGAACCACACCTGGAAATTCAAGAACTCCTTTGAAAGTTGGCTGTGATGTCACTTTAAGGTTAGGGCTTTAATGACTTAGGTAAATCATATTCAGTGATACAGACTTGAATCTTTGTTGTCTGCAATAAATCCAGGGCAATATGTTGTGTTTATGCTGTTTATTTTTGAAAGGTTCTCTCCTAAACTAAGGAAGAACCGTTTGCTTTTTAAGAAGTAAATGTTACACAAATGCAGCTTTTAAGTGTTTTATGTCTCATGGTGTGGTGCTAGCAAGTTTACATTTATTAATTAAAGACTTTTTAGAGCTGTTCAACAAATATGTTACACAGGATCATATAGTACAGTGACTTGGTTCAAGAACATTTGTTTAGAGGGTTTTTGTGTAAAATACAAGTGTCTGTTGGTGTTCATTGTCTGTCAAACAAAAACTTTGCAATACTCTCCTTATTTTAAGAAAATATTTGTTTTTTTACTTGTGCATCCTACAGTTTGCAATTATTATTACAAAGCACAAAGTTTTAATATATTTTGTCACCCAAAAAAGCACACATTCTACTGTTAAACACATTATAAATCACTGACTCACAAAATAAACCTGTAGTACCCTGAATGTTGCAGTTTTTATTACACTAGATGATTAGAAATTGACTTACAAAAGACTCATACAATATAGTGATTTTACATTTAAAGGGGAATACAAACTTTTTGATCTAAGCAGTTTTCTGCAAGTTGTTTGGTCAATTGTTTAATAAAGTACAGTAAACTTAAATAAACCCAGTGACGGGGACTTCCAGTGGAAGGAACAGGACAAAGGACGGTTTAACTCGCTTGCTTTGGGTGGGTTCAAAACCACATTCCTTAGATTTCTGCCAACAATCCTCCTGCTTCTTTTCTTACATCATGTCCAGCTGCACAGGAAGAGAGCAAAGAGAAGAGATAAGAGCCTGACGAGTTTATAATGAGGCACCAAAAGCTCCACTCCTCAAAGAACAACATAAAAAACCGCAGAGGGAACAGTTCTAACACTGATCTAATTCCTAAATTCCATATCTATATAAAAAGAGAGAACATAGATTGTTGTTGGAAGACACATTTTCACACTCACCAAGTCATCCACATCACCAGTGTCTTCCACCGGTTCAGAAGCAACTTGTTCTTTCTTTTCCTCAGTCAAAAGAAACTGCAAACAAAGTAGGATTCATCTAGTATTAAGGGCTGATAAAGTTTGTTCACACAATTTAAATAACTCTCACGACTTTAATAAATATCCTTGGAAAGCTAAATATTTCAGCATTTCAACACAAAACCTGAATGCTAGAGATTTAGAACAGAGTGATGTATCTCACAGTAATATATTTAAAGGGTCCATTTCTGCTATGGGTTAGAGCTAATATAAAAACTTTAAATTTAGTTTCTCGTAAATTGGAAAATTATGGAATAAATGGAAAAATGTTTTTTAACAGGAAGAAAGTCCAACGTGACTTCAGCCTTCAGCTGCTCTTCTTAAATTAGTATTAATTCAGTCAAATCGGAGGGTTTACATGCACAAAAAGACTCTGGACCTTGACTAGGCTACTTGGGTTCCTGTTGGTGCGAAAAGCTTTTTCCACTTGGACCTCTAGAAAGGAAGAACAGTAATTCCTGCCAAGTCTAGTTTTTTTGTTATCGTGACCGCAAACATTAAAGAAAGCAAATGAGGCCTTTACATGTTGGTTTATTTGAGATCTCCTGGATTAGTCACTGATGTGTTCTGAGAGTAATTTTGGTAGACAGCCTACTTCATGTTGTCAGAAAAGTCCTAAGTAAGTGATTTCCAGATTCTGCAAGTCTGGCAGTAATCAAGCTTTTCTATATGGGGTCAGGTTAATTTGGACAAGTTGTTTCTCTTAAAATCATCATTTAAAAACAATTTTTTTTCAAAGTTTCTTTTTTTGGTTTGTTTGTTATTCATTGCTGATATTAAAAAATAAATTTTCTGTCAAATTGAGTTCTGTTTTTTCATTTGCTGTTAACCATAATTCCCAAAACAAAAATACTTCTTATATATGTTCCTTTGTGTTTCATTAGTCTGTATTTATACACAAGTTTCACTTTCTGAATTGACTTACTGAAATAAATTAAATTCTTAGTGATATTCCACACTACTAATATGAACATCAATATGCATTAAAATCACCTGAGAAGCTTCACTTTTCGACACGGCGCTTCCTTCTACCTCGTCCTCGCTGATCAAAGTCACAGCGTCTGGCCAAACAAAGAAGTCAAACGCTGAACTCTTCAGTAGACTTGTACTGTAACTAAAGCAGCGTTCAGCACTCAAATCATGAAGAGGGTTCATCTCTTCCCAGGGGAAAAATAATTTAGCAGAAACCTTGCAGCCTCTTAAAAAGAAGGCTTATCTTACCTTGAACAAGCAGGTCCCAGAAGACCTCGAGGGCTCTGCTGGGAATACTCCTTTTCAGGGACTGAAGGTAACTGTTGAACAGATCAGCATTCCCCTGCTGAATTATGGAAGACATAAGACATTCAAATTCCATTTAGCGCTCTCACAAATGCTGACATGCTTATGAAAATTGGCCTCAGCTCAAGTCACAAGAAAAGAAACAGACTCATTTTAATCTCAAGACTAATAATCTCAGAAGAACAACCGAACTTCGAAAGAACATCAGTCGTGCATTCCTAAATGTCGGGTAGTGAATGTTTACTTACCTTTACAGACTCCTCTCTGAAAGCCTGGATACAGGTGATGCTTTTCATGTAGTAGTGCGTGTTCTTGTTGCTAAGCAGCTGCTCTATCCTGTGAGTCAGCTGCTGACAGACTGAAAAGACAGGGGTCACCACAACCAGAGAGAGAGAAAAACATGATTGCAGGGACAGAGCGTGAGTCACGGTGGTTTATATTGCACCGATTTTCATCTGATCAGCTCTGCAGATAAATAACAGGAAGCCGGGACCTCACCTTCTCCGAACGGAAGAGTTTTCTGTTTGATCAAAGCGCGGAAGTCCCGGGCTGGATCGACGCTTCCCACCTGGTGGGAGGTGGAAATTAATTTAAGACACATCTGTTGTGCTTTCCAGACTCAATGTTCCAGAGTCGGTTTTGTTCATTTCCAAAACACAAAATAATAAACTGCACCATTGGTTTATGGCAGATTTTCTACAGTAAGCAGGCTTTAAATAAGCAAGAAGAAAAACCTTTAACTAGAGGGAAAGTATGACCCAAGGGATGGACACAGGGCATGATGGAAGGTAGGAGAAGGAAGGAAGGCATGAAGACAGGCCATAAGGAAGAACATTTGGACAAGGAGGAGGAAAGATGGAAGCGCACAAAGAAAGAAGGAAGGAAGTAGGATACAATGATAGAAGTTCATCAAGACAGATGAAGGGACAGAGAGATAGGATAAATGTATGTTACCTATCTAAAAAGATAGGGTGCATAAAAGGTGGAAGAACACAAAGATGGAATTAAAAGATACGGTGCAATAAGTGCAGGACACTAAGGAAGGAAGTAGGACAAAAATACTAAGGAAAGAGGGACAGTAATAGAAGAAATGAAGGAGAAAAGAAAAAAGAAGAGAGGAAGGATGCAAATAAGGAAGAAAGAACCCAAGGACAGAGGGATTCCAATTACGAAAGAAGGAAGAACACAAGTAAATAACCAAGGAAGAAAATACAGAAGGAAGGGTGGAAGGAAAGAAAGGACACATAGCAGGAAAGAATAAAGGACACAAGACAGGAAAGATAGAAGAAAGGAAGAATACGACATTTAGACAATAGGAAAGAAATAGTCTAGAAATAGAAATTTGTTCCACTCTTAGTTTTTACGTTTATCCAGACATGAAAGGTACTCTGAGCTTTTCTATATATAACCCTACATGGCCTGTGAGGACTCAGCCAGTTCCCTCTGATACGTACAGAAGTAACAGATCCTTCGGAAATGTTTGCCAGGTTATACTCATCCTCTGCTTCGTCTTCTTTTGCTTTCTTGGCATCTGGCTCCTCAGAGCTATGAATCACAAAGGAGAATATTTACAATCCATCACTGCTTCTTGCGACATGAAAAATACCATGCATGTTACTCTGCAAAGGTTTTACAACCGATCTGCACACAGGACTGCAACAGGACTCTGAATCCAAACTCACTCTTTGCCAAAAATCTGAGCGCTTGTCTTCAGCTTCTTTTTCTTCTCCACTTCGGTGAGTGGAAACAACTTCTTTATCTCCTCCAGTGGAGCTTGGCAGCGTTCCTGGATGACCTCAGGGCGATCGAGAGCAGCCTCCAGCCACGGCTCCATGGGGGGAAGAGGAGAGTCAGGGTGTACAGCCCTGTGGTGCAGACACTGAAATAATAAAATGATTTTGAAAAGTTGAAACCAGCACTCAGTGAGGAAGAACCAAACCAGGATAAACAGTGTCAGATATAAGCTGGGTAAGGTTTTCATTCCACAATAGTCAATTAATGAAAAACCCAAATATTGGTAGGCAAATGTTAAATCAATGTGATAATCTATATTAGATTTTTGTTTGAATAGATTTCAAATATACTTAAATCTATATTAGCTTTTCTTAGGTATTATTTGATATTTGTCCTTTAGAAAATGGTAGATGGGGAAAAAAAAGAAATAAAAGTTATCAAACATTGATGCTAACTATTTTTCTTTCCCCCCCATGTACAGACCTGGATATTCAGAGAAGCAAATTCTATTATTTTCTTTATGACAGTGTAGGAGCTTTGTCTTTTAAATTCAGTGTTTCCAAACTGCACCTGGAAGTGTCTCTGGAAGGCAGGGTTGGGAAGATGGTGAGGTTTGAGCAAATCTTCGTCTTCTGTTACAAGCATCATCGAATCGATAAGAGAGTCGATGGCTGACAACTGCGTTTCTACAGGAAGCAAGGAACAAAAAGAAATCACAGAGTTTAGGTTTAGATATGCATCTTAAGATTTAAAGAACAAAAATATCTAAATAAACACTTCCTAGCAAAACAGTTCATCTTAAATATAAATACAGCATATTATGTTTGTTTGTGAGAATACATTTTCAGTTCCTTTTTGTAATTAAAAAATAAAGCAACAATAGTGTCCCACCAGCCTCAGAAAGTACATGTACTAAAAGGGAAATACAGCAGATCTGAAGTGCTCACATCACACCCATCGAAATGGCAGATTTTCATAACATGCAAACTAAATGATAATTATTATTATTTAAATGTGCAAAAGTATATCTTTCTGTGTTTGCCGCACCTGATGGAGCAATCTTCTTGTTGTTCTCAAGAGAAGGAAATGTAAACTCTCTTCCATAAAGATCTTCCATGAAGGGCAGCTGAACATATAACAGGCACTGCAGAGGGAAATACATAAAAATGAATGCAACTATTTATATGCAATGTAGAAAAAGACAATCATTTTCCCCCTTCATTGTGACTTTATATGATCCCAGATACTAGCTTAGCCAAGAAAATAATAGCATTGCTTTGAAAGAGAGCTAATTAGAGGCTCACCTGGTGATGTATTTTAAGTCAAAACCACAAAAGAAATCAAAATTTCCATTTTGCACAATGACCTGATAGGTCATTCAGCAATGAAAAAGCCACTACCTCAAAAAGTCACATAAAAAAGCAGGTCACAGGTTGGGAATGCACTCAGGGACAAAGACCTTATGGTTGAACACAAATAGGTCTTCCAAATTATTTAATAATAGTTATAAATATGGATATCCCAACAAATACAAAAAAGTTTAGACTGATTAAATGTCAGAGCATGGGCGAAAAAGATGGTGTGTCTGCAAAGACATTATTTTAAAAGTATATGAGGAGAGTTGCTGAAGAAAAAACTGAGAAAAAGTATTTTTGTCTGTGACCTGACCTCATATTCAGGCTTGATACACGGGAATGCAGCGCCCACTTGAGGATTGCTGCGCCGGTCGTAGGCGTAACGCACAATGGCAACCATGTTGAGCTCATCCAGACCACGGATCAGAGCCGACATGGCCACGCCTGCATGCTGCTCAGAGAGAAAAGAAACACAACAAAAATACCAGAGCAGCTTCAACTTGTGGTCATTAACTTAACACCAGTGCTGTCCATCCCTACCTCATCATCCCGTGCAGGAAATATCTTGACAATCTGTGTTCCCATGAACTGATGGCGAAGAACCTACAGATGAAGATTAGTTTAGTATGCTTCAGCTGTTAAGTTGAGTCATGGCCTTGATTAAAAATAAGAGGAAAATACCAAGTTCTTTTTAGTGAAGCCCAGAACAGCAAAGCACTTCCCATCATGCTTGTATTTCATCTGATCCTGATCCACTTTGGAGAAAGGTACGATATCACTTCCGTACCGAAAACCTGGCAACAAAAAAAGAGGCGGGCTTGAATTTAAGCATAAAATTTTTCAGATTTTAGGACAAAAAAAGAATCTCTTCTTGCTCTTTTTTTTTCTATTCCACTCTTCAAGGCTTTAGATTGTCCTCACCCTGAATAATGTCTTCCTTCTGCACCTCTGTCTCATTGTCGTCATCCAGACAGTAAACAGTCTCTCTCTTCACATCATCTCTCTTGTTGGTTTGAGCATCGACTGTGATCCACATTTTCTTCAGTTTCTCCTCAGTCACCTGGAGAACAAATGTAACATTTAAAGCGAGGTTTATGTGACTATTATTAAGGTGGAATAACCCTTAAGAATAGCTAAAGAATATATGAAATGTAAAAGCACTGCTTTAAATAGAACAGCTGAAACAAGCAAATGTTTGTTGTGCCCCCTCCCTGGATTTTAAAAAACTGCAGATAAATCGTGTTTTAGAGAACTTACTGCTTTGTAGCCAACGATACGGATGGACAGAGAGCTACCGATGGTGAGCTGACAGGGCCAGGCCATGGGTCTCCTCTCAATGCGTTTAAACATACACAAGTGCTCCATAGCATTCCTGCAACAGAATCGAGGCAAATGGAAATAAAAAAATGTGACGAAATCTAATACAAGGATCATTTACTCCTAAATGCAGTCAGATGGTGAGACACGCAGGGGAAAGTATTAACAGAGAACAAAAACCAATGAGACATGAGAAAGAACATTTGAATTGGAGAAAAAACTTTGAAACTCTTCAACCTGAATGTGTAAATTTCTTCCAGGCCCTCCTCCTCATCCAGACTCAGCATGATGTTTTTAATCATTTCCAGGCCACTTCGCTGTTCCCTGGAGAGACCTTTGCCCCTACCAGGGTCACCGGAACCCGTTCTGTCCCCATCTCCTTCACCCTCTTCTTCATCCTCCACTGGGAAAGGCAAACTGGAAATGAACAAGTTGGTAAAGGCAAAATAATATAAGGCCAGCTTGCTATGCATAAAGTCTAAATTAAAACAAATTTGAAGAAATTTAGCTTCTCGCGTGAGAAGTAGAATGCTCTACAGTAATATGAAAAAGGCCATGCTTTACAAAAGGAAACTGTGTATTACAAGAACTGCATGTTGATTTCAGCTTGTTTCAAGTTTTCAATTATGACATCCAGCTTGTCTGAACTGGCTTCAGTGCTCAGGTCAGTCAGGAGAACAATGTTTAAGCGATCACACTTTTTCCCCCTTAAAAAGAAAAAAATAGTCACAATCAATTAGTCTCTTCGACATAAAGAATGAATCCACCGATTCTTCCTTTATTTTTTAAATAGTCAGATACAAATTGCTTCTTACTGGGTTTCTGTCTTGAGAAGATCCATGGAAACTACAAGAGCATCCAGCCCTGTTAAACATAAGTTAAGGAACTTTTAAAAGAAAAATTTTGCACTGATGCAGTTATTCATGCATGTAATGCAGGTTGACATTTTAGTATCACATTTTTTTTAATTGGTCAATTCAAAACTATTTCATCCCTTGCAGTTTTTTTTTCTTCTGTTTTTATCATTAAAAATTATGGATTTTATTTAATGAGAGTTAAAAGTTATCCAAACTATTCTGGTCCAGTATGAAACGGTAATTAGTCCCTAAGTCCATGCCACACTTGGCAGCAGCCTCTCCCATCGAGTGTTTGATAACTGGCAAAAAGTACTTTATGTCTCTCTAAAGTATCCTTAGGTGTCAGTGTGTGGCTATGCATGGTCAATTGTCCTGTGCAACTTTTTGAGGCTGTACTCGCCCAACTATCACTGGAGATAGGCACCATGACCTGGGCAAGCAGATATAGACAATGACTGATCTGAAACATTTAATCGGGGGCACAGGGACATTAATAGGGAGCCACTAAATTTTCACAGCGCTATAATCTTCTCAGAAACTCAAATTTGGGATTTTATTAACAATAAGCCGTACAAAATTAATAAATAAGTCCAACAAAGGATACAGTCAGCCTGCTGATTTTCAGGGTGGATCTGATGTTCGATCTCTTCCAGCAGCTCAAAGTCCGGCACCATAAGATGACGATGCACTGTGATGTTCTGGTATTGCCCATCCCGGGCCAAAGGGTTTTTGGTATAATCCGTGCCAAACAAAACCAAAGCTAGTTCATCCTTGGTCTCTGCAAAAACCTGGCAGAAAAACACTAGATGAAGATAGGGGGCTTATTTTTGAGGATGACACCTTGTTCAATCACTGTGCTACTGTACCTGCCGCTGGACAAACTTCTGGATGACTTTTTTCGCCTGTGCAAAAGGAGGCTCTTCACCAGGGGCTGAGTTGGACATGGAGAAGCCCACATCCATGCAGAGAACCAGGGCTGACTGCAAAGCAAACACCTCAATGGTCATAAACATTTTCTTTTTTCTTTTTAACTATTATGGCGTGTTTAAACCTCGATTTTTACTATAACAGATCAAATACATATTCATTCTGCCACTATAAAGCTGTCAATAACTACTGGAACTTCTCCCCACCAGGTGAATTTACACCATGGCTGAACTGTTTCGTCTTAATCAGATATTCAAGCATAAACCTGGTGTGGAAGTTAGGAGTAGGGTTAGGATGGAAGTGGACATGTTAAAACCACCTTTTGACATAAAATCAAGACATCACCATGATGCAAATGAGAAGCAAATTGAACCTAGAGGCGTGACTAAAGATTGGCAGACATGCCTTAACACGAACCTGATCGAACACAAGCAGCTTCTAATATTTTCAAAAACAAAACAAACTAAAAAAAAATACCCGAAAGTATTTTTTGAACATGAACTTCCTGTTATCATTCATTTAGCATCAGTCTAAAGAAATTAACACACATTAAATAGAAAACAACTTACCTTTGCTCCGGCCATCCTCTTCGTTTTCCCTCTTTTAGTCACTGAGTGTCACTGTGTTATTATTCCGGAAGGCAACAACAAGCGGATCAGAGAGTTCCTGTGTCCCCTAGTCTTTTAAATCTTCGTATATTAAAATATGGATTTGGGGCCCAAAAATATTATTTATATGCTTGAAGGAACGTTTAAATATCAGTAAAGATCAACAATATTTTACGTATTTATACGAACGGTGTTTTCGTTTCTAGAAATCAAGATGTGGGTTATACGCCCTCTTGTGTTTCACGTGGCTCTCTACACCCATTATTCTCAAAGCACAATGTGCTGCATGTGTACCCGCTTTGATAATCTTGATTCAGATGATGGCAACAAGAATCCGCCATTAATTAAAATCAAAGGAACACCTGCAACTTGATGGTCAGTGTGCCTTGAGAACCAGGGGTGGGAAACACATGTTGGAGCTCTGCTTGTACTGCTATAAAAGATCTTGACCTGCCAGGAGACTTGACCTCAGAGAGGCATTTCACCCATCCTGGTAAATAAACACATGTCAATGAAACAGATTAACAGACAAAAGTATACATTTTTTAAGCATGCTTTAAATAATATATTTTTTAAAATGTCAACTGTGATAAACACTTTTGCTATCCAGCTACTGTGATCTTTTTTCATTTTACAAAATTGAGAATTAGAGCACATACTTCCTGTTTGTGTTTGGTAGTTTGTTGTCATTTACGTAATTTGAGCCAGATGAAGCTGAAACGATGCTATTTGAAAAGTTCTGGGAAGAACATATTTACAGAAAAAGATTATCCACATTAAGTTCAAAATTTGTATATATTTTGTATAGTTTTGGCTTAATTACTGCTCTGAGTTGGTGTTTCAGAAAATTACCCTTTTCAGTGTGTATATTAGGTTAAAATTAATTAATTACAAAATTAGTTGATGACTATTTTAATAATCAATTAATTTGAGTAATCATTTCAGACATATGTGGAAGGAAATGAAATATGGCAGTTTCTCTTTGTGAATAAATTAATCCATCCATTGATTGATCCATGGAGGCTGGTGCCTTTCTACTGCAGCCAATAGGCTCGGCAGGTTGCCAGCTGATAAAAGGGTAACAGAAATATGCAGGACAAAGAACCATGTGCACACACACGTACTTCCTCCTGAGGGCAATTTAAAGTGACCAGTTAATCTAACATGGAAGCCAAATATCAGCAATGAAAATGGAAGTTGTGGCCTGGATTTGAACCCAGGATCTACATGCTGAGAGGTAGCAGAGATAACAGTGTGTACATGTATTTACAGAAAATAAGAACTGGATATTATTGGCTGTTTTACAGTAGGAGGGGAGGAATACGTTAAGAAAACATCTCACCACTGAAATGCAGTGATGCTATCCTTTGTTTTACCTTTATTCTTTACCATTATGTGGATTTACAAAACGTGATGTGGAAAACAGAGTCAGTCCAAAACCACATCTATTCTTTTTTTTTTATTATTGTAAACAAAAACAGCATACCCAGAAAGGGGAGGCCATACATGGTTACATATTCTCAAACACACCCCAACAGATGACTCACCAAGCATTTAAATAATCTGACTCATCTAAAACCAATATCTACTCACCCAGTTTATGTCAAAGTGCTGCAGTGTAAAACACATACAGGAGCTTAAACAACTTGTCAAAGGATAACAGAAATAAATCCAGAAATGAAGAGACAACATATGAAATATGAATACATGGGAATCTGACAAGATTTATCAACTAGAAAACTACAAATGAAGCAAAACAATGAGATTCTGATCGCACATAGTTCATTTCATGGTGCTGAGATTGAGCAAAAACATAATAAAATGAAGTTATAAGTAGTGGCTGAACAAATTTGTTCATTTTTTCTTGATTGCCTTTGACCAGTGATTGACAGGTCAAATACTGAATTTTTAATTTTTTTTCCTCTTCACTCAATGCATCATAACTAAAATCTTCTTTATTTTCCAATGGTTACCGCATCACCGAACCCCAAAACGCATAAATGAATGTCGAGAAAAGCAGATAAATGTATATTTGAATAAAAATAATCATGTAACATTTTTTGGTTTTCAGTTATATTCAAGAACAAAACCTTCTTGGACATTCACTTTGAATGGATCATACTGCAGTTAAAGTATTTTTAAGAACTCCAGACATCCTCCTGAGCTGTATTGAATGTAAGTGGAGTAATAATTTAAAAAAAATCAAAATATAACACCATATTCTCATGGATCATCAGTGATCACTCAATACTCATTATTACACTAGTAATCCAAAATTTTGTCTTATTTCAAAAGTACACAGGTAAACATTGAGGTGTCTTTGTGCACAGTAGGGTTGACTGAGCATTTATTTTCAACAAAACTGTCCAGACTATTTAAATAATACTGAGCTATGATACTACAACAGACATGGAAAGTATAGTTTTTATTAGGCCAGGTGTAAACACTTAGACTGACAACATACACAAAAAAAAGTAACATCACAAAATAGAGAACCAATGGTGGAAATCAGACTCTTTAAAACGCAAAATAATCTTTCAGTCAACAATGTGTTACTATTGACTTTTCCCACTGGAACAGTTCATGCAGAGCCTTCTAAACTTTGGAAGTTACACAAGTCATTGCACAGCAATCACAAATGTTTATTACAGATATTTACAGATCAAGTGAAACTTGGTTATGATGTTGAGTTTTCTGTGTTACTGGATCTCCAGCATGGCTTTCCAAGCCAAGGCCAACATGAGGTGAAAAGTTTCTGAGATTGGTTTAGTAAACCCTGGTAGCTGTTTAATGATAGAAGTTGAGAACCATAAAAACCCTGATAACCAGTTATGCTTATAGTTTAATAAGATTCAGCACCAGAAGACAGTTTGGGCAGTACATACTGAGTTATGCTGTACAGCATTTTTCTGAAACAAAATAATAATTCTGAGGAAAATCTTCTTTTTCAGTTTAATTAAAGAATAAGATTAAAATGAAGTCATATATTTACAACCAAAAGTAGGAATTATATCAAATTACAATTTCTAAAATCTGTAACTATATTTTCTTGCGAATTAAAACTTCCATGTGTTTGTCTTCAAACTAAGATGAAAAGTTAAAATGACAGCAGCATTTTATTTATGCCAACATAAAGAGGGTCCTGTAAAAAGAAAATCTATTGATAAATAGTTTCAGTTCTGAGTACTCTGATCTCATTATAAATGCAAAAACTGTTTAAAGGACTGATATGTTTGTTAGATCAATCCTGGTACTAAAGGCACACATCCCTGCATGTTTTAGATGTTTCCCTGCTTTTAACACCCCAGATTTGCATGATTGCATTTCAACCAACACTTGTAAATTAGTTATAAATCAAAATAAAGCTTGTCAAAGCAGAGAAAAAAATGCTAGGCAATGTGCCTTCAGGGCCAGAGTTGGGGAAACCTAAATTAGAGAACATTAGTGAACAAATCAAAAGAATATTCACTACTCAGGATGGGGAATCTGTTGCCCAGGCAACTGTTACAAATCTGGCTTAAATTTGAAAGCATAACAAGAAGAACCCCAGGGTTGAAGCCGTATGTAGTCCATCTCCACTGTGCTGTGGAGATGCTTTTCTTCAGCAGGGACAGGGAAGCTGGTCAGAGATGATGAAAAGCTGAATGGAGCTAAATACAGAACAATCCTGGAAAGAAAATGTACTAGAAGCATTCGACACTGTGGCAGAGGTTCTCTTTAGAGCAGGTTTATATTCATAAACATACAGTCAGAGCTGGAATGGTTCTGATCAGAGTATATTCATGTGAGAGTGATGTTGTCAAAGTCCAAATGGTATAATTAACAAATAATTTATGACAAGACTTGAAAATAAATATTCACTGATAATGTTCGAATAATCGGAATATGCTTGAGTTATTTTTTGAAGAATTGACAAAAATGTAAGTCTCTAGACATGCAAAACTGGTTAACATACAATACTTGCAGCTTCAAGTGCAACAAAAGGTGAACGTTGTGTTGTTTAATCACATGAAACTCAAATAAAATCCATTAAAGTTTGTGGTTTTAACCTGATAAAATGTGAAAAAGGCCTTTGAATACAGCTGCACAGCTCAGCAAATCAGCAATGCCCCCCTCAAACTGATGACGTCTGGGCAAATTCACTGGGTGCCTTGCTCTGCAGAGTCCCAGAAACCATGTCAGAGTCGAGCAGCTCCACAATGCTGTAGGGAGAGCAGTCCTCCAGCCCCAGCTTCCCACAGGCCCAGCCACAAAAGCCTTTCTCCAGGTCTCGCACCGCCATCCACCACTCACTGAAAGCCCAGGACACCTGCACCACAGCTGAGTATAGAGCCAGAGACAACGCCAAGGGCATGATGAGCACAGGGTAAAAGATGATGAGAAAGGGGCAAATAGTAATCTTGTGCCAGAACGTCCGCTCCTCATTGTACACCAGGAAGACGTTGTACCAGGTGAGCGTGCCGTAGTAGAAGGAGGTGATGAAGGAAAGGAGGAAAACCACAGGAGCGCAGGAGATGCTCCACAGCACCACATGGGGTCCCTGGCACACTCCTAAGGCACACTTTCGTTTGTACCCTTCCCCAGCCTCACACTCTGCATCAAGACGCTCCTTTGACTTGGCCAGATCCCTGAGTTCCCTCTCTGTCAAAGTGACGTGAATGTCCACCACCTGGCCTTTCTTCTTTCCTCGAGTGATGGTGCCAGTAAGCGTCACGTAGCAGCTGTCTGGAGGAAGGTTCCAGTCCCTTTCTGTTCAGAGATAAAATTAGGTTTGAGATGAACAACAATACATAAAAAAACATCTAACAAAAAGCTAAATAAAAACAATATTACTGTCAAATACACAAGTTATTTATTAAACATTTATTAAACAGAAGCAGTTTTATTAAACAGTAAAACTTTTAATAAAACTGTTTATTTTAATCGCAAAGTTCAAATAATCCAGATTTGGAATTAAAAGTAGACTAAAGTTGTGCACGCTTTAGGGCTTGGCTAATTTTTAGATGATAGGTTCCATACAATACAAAAAAACCCAGTATATTTTTCAGCTTATCTTGAACAGCTGTATTTATATTGAGATTCAATGAGACATGTTTAAAACAAAATTTAAAAAGGCTGGAAATGAAAGCCCACTACATATTTGCTTTTTGTTTGTTTTATTAAAATAGAAAACCGAACACAATTAGAACTTGTGTACTACTCTTCAACTCTAACACTACTCACTCTCACCTTCTCCTGTCGGTGTTCCCAGGAATTTTGCTCCCTCCTCTGTGCTCCTTTCTCCTCCCTCCTCTCCGCTCTGCTCCTCTCCTCTCTCCATTTCGGAGCGGTACACGATGATGGACTCTGGACGGGGCTCTTTCTTCTTCCTCCTCTTCCTCCTCATAGATGGCCCCACTTCTCCATCATTCCCCTGGCTCACTGACACGTCTGATCTCAAGGAGACCATCTGAGGACTGCTCTCCCCTTCAGTGTGAGATTCCTCTACCTGTGCCATCCTTTCCTTGAAACCAAATAATGATGGGCTACTTTTCTGATGCGTTAGGCGTGGGCTGAAATATGTGTCCCATCTACTGCGTTTATAAAAAATTAATGTAGATTACTGGAAGGCAACCCAAGCACAGAAACACACACAACAGAGAGGAAGAGAGTCCAGTTAGAAGAAGCTTACTTGTTATTTAATCCTCAGCATGCAGGCATTCTCTGCTCAATTTTACACAAAACAGCGAATGTTTTCTCTATGTCCTGCTGTAGACTGTTTACATCCAGGAAATGGCATCTATTTTCATATGGATGTATAGGGAAAACCGGATGTAGCAAAAACAAAGCAGGAGCCTGGATTTGTTCAGTTTAGAAAGAATTTTTTTGTTTTGTTTTGCATGACCGTCATGATTATCTGAGCACATAATTGTTATCTTACATCCTCCTTACAGACATATGTATAAAAAAACACACGAAAAATAAACAGGGCGTCCAGTAAGAATGCATTCTTATAGGAGAGGGTGAAATCGACAATGCAACCCTCATACAGCTGATTCCCCTCCCATGTAAATCCCACCCATGTTCCGCTCTTTTGTCTGCAGACAGCAGCCGGTGGAAATCCGCCGCCGTCTAAAAATTCTCCCACTGAAATGCAGGCTTACCTTTAAAAGAACGGCGAGCAGCAAAACTGGGACAGTGTGAGAATAAACTAGCGGATCAGGAACACACAAACACACCCCAGTGCTGCGTTTCTGGGCATACAGATGCGCTACGCAAAACGGCTTCTGGAATAGGACTAATCCCGCCCCTAAGCAAAAATCCTACAAAATCAGACCAATCCACGCCATCCTTGATCCCTGCTCCAGCCACACCGTCACTTCTGCTTTTGGAGGAAAAAGCAGGAATTAGCTGCAGAATTTGGATACCAAAGATTATTTCCACTATGGAAGCCCGGTAGCTCCAAACGAAAGACAACGTGGTCTTACGCATCATATAAAATATGAACAAATTTAAGATAAAAATAAAATAAAAATATTCAAAATCACAATTTAAGATAAAAGATAAAATGATTTACAGTGCAACAAAAAACAGAACTACGAAATGAAAAAAAAGCCACATTTTTGATCTTAAATGAATAGTATCTTTGAGTTGCAAAGTCATAATTGTGCGAGACAGAAAGATAACAAGAAAAAGTCACTTGTTGAGTGGATCTTGGTTTCAGGGTTTCAACTGTAACAGACTGAATAAATGCACAAATGAGTTGGAAGCCTGAAAGGGACATTTTCAAGATCACAATGATCAGAATGAATTAAACTAGTTCCTAGACATCTGTTGACACAAAAAGCAGGCTACTGTTGAAATAAACGTCGTTCAAAAAAATTGGAAATGAAAAGCCAACACAATGAAGCCACAATTACGAGTCATTTGTGTCATTTTAAGGGAACATATTTCGAGTCTTAATGTTGAGACTTCATGTTTTAATTTTAAGGAATGAAATATTATTCTACATAAAACCATTGGCAAACAAGTATTAAAAGTACAGTAGTGAAATCCATCAGTAAGTACTGCGTTCAGGAAGAGGTGGCTGACGGTCGCCATTGTTAACAAACCAGGAAGCGTGACGGTCCTCATGGTCGTTGAAAAACCTCCAACGTTTGTTTCCTTTAGCGTGAATTCTTTCTAATCTAAGAATAGACTTTAACCTCAACCTGTGTTTTTCTGTATAACTGGTGGCTTAAGTTGTCACCTTATCACACATTTAGCTTTAAACCATCATTTTTCGTTATAGTTGAAATTCTTAACTTGTAATTAGCGCCGTTAGCTGGTTCAGCCTAACATGACGGAGCAGCATTTGCTAGACAATATTGACAGTCTTGTGTTTCAATTCGGTACGTTTATTATGTTTACAACTATATCTTAGTTAAATTTGTTCGGGTTTTTGTTGTTAGCACTTTAGCTAATGCAAGCTAAGTTGGCACCTAGCTTACATTTTGACTTTGTTTCTTGACAATACGAGAAACTATTGACAGCTGTCGGGGCAGGTATCTTTTACAAACAAAAGGCAATCAAATAATTTCACTTCTTTTTAGCTGTTAAAATTCGAGAGGCTTCTCAAAAGAAGAATGCAATCCAAAAGCAAATCAAAGGTATGTCTTGCTACACTTGTTGATAAGTTAAACAAATCGTGGCCTGTTAGTTTTATTAATTGATATATCGCGATAAGTAACTTGAAGTATTATAATCGCATTGTGCTCCACGGTATGTATCAAATGCACGAGAGTAAGTAATATGAAGTATTTCTTTAAACAGAGTGCAGAAATCTCATCACTGAGAAGAGGTCTTACATTGAAGCAATTCAAGGATACATCAAGAATCTTGATGAAGAAATTCGAGTGAAGCAGAGCACTGTAACGAAGAATAAAGAAAAAACAAAAAGGTAACAGCAATGAAGTACCACAGTGTGCACTGGTCAACATGATCAAATGTATTGTTAACCCAGTTACATTATAGTAGGGTTTTATTTACTGTTTTTTTCTGTCATCCATGACACTCCAGCATGAAGGTGACCATCAGCCTGCTTCTTCAGTATGAACAGACGCTGAAAACAGAACTGGAAAGTAGACAAAGCAGCTACGACCATGACCAGTAGGCTATTGCATAATTTGATCAGTTGAAAGCTGCATTTAAATGTACAAAACTGAATTGTTGATTTTACACCAACTTGTTAGGGAAGTCTACAAAGAAAGGTTTGCTACCTACCTGCAGACACTGGAGTCATACAAAGAAACATATTTCCAAAATCCCTTCGCTCAGAAGCTCCTCCTGCTGCAGGCTGAGATAGAGAAAACTGAGAGTCGAATTAAACACTGTGATGATTGCATGATGATGAAAAAGAAAGAACTGGAATATCTTACTGGTAACCTGGTCTTTTCTTTGTAATTTGTCTTTTCTCTGGATGAGCTGAAAATTTACATATTCAACAATTTTTGAACAGATCCAGATGTGACTTCTTATTCCATGGAAAAACTACCAGATGGGTTTGTTTTAAAAATAACAAAAACAAAGCAAACTTTTAAAGCTTTTTATTTACTAATTAAATGCAATTTTCTCTGTAGTGTTTTAGGCAAGCACCACACAACAGAAGAACAATCCAAACAGACGAAGGAGGATTGCTCCATTGACATGTCATGCATTGATCTCAACCAAGCGGCTGTACTCAGATTGATCAGTTTGACATTTTGTCACTGATAACACATCAGTAATCATATTCTATAAAATTATATCAATACTGAACATAATATTACAGAGTGACCATGAACCTGCTGTGGAGGTAAATACTGAGGAGGTGAGTGAGGGAAACGAACCGCAGGATCCAACCAGCTGCTTCACTGCCTCTGACAAATCAAATGAAGAGCTCTGGTCTCTGCAGCTGTCAGATGGTGAATTGAAATACATTTTTTTATTATTTATTCATATATAGACGTCTTCATTGAAGATCACCGTCAGATTGTTGTTTTATTTTCAGAGTCAGGTCCACCAGAAGAAATGCACTCTGAGGCAGAAGAACCAGAAATTTCACAGGAGGAACAGGTTTTAGTTTATTCTCTGATTTTTAGTGGACTGAGTCACTGTAGTTTTTAATGCATTTGCACTTTCAATGCACAAAACTTTCACCTAGATTAACTTTTAGGTTATATAAATTAAATTAGGGTTATGGTATGACTAGGTTATTAAGTGCAGTACAGCACTTTATTTTTTCTTTAGTTAGTTCACGTTCTGATACTGTACATTAGTATATGTACAGACTGGCGCAGTATCTGCGACAGACTGGCGACCTGTCCAGCGTGACTCCGCCTCTTGCCCGAAACACTCCCTGGAAATAAGCACCAGCACCCCTCGACCCCACTAGGGTCCAGGATGTTAGAAAATGGATGGATGAAGGGTTGCAAATCAATGAATGTCATGCAGGGACATCAGGAGCCTGATGCAAAGAGTGAGAGTGAGGGAGCGACAGGAACAGACCAGCGGGTAAGAGATCTTTGTTTTTCAAACTACTGTACTGAATTTAAAACTGTTGACATATATTTTACCCTGTCTTTTTACTTACAATTTTACAATGTATGTTTTTACAAAATAAAGTTGCAAATATCGTAACACATAGTGACTTGAATATATAATTTCAATGTGGGTTTTGGATTGTAAATAGTAACATGCTAGATTACATTGAACATTGTCTGAAAAAGAGTTTTGTTGTTTTTTCTGTCACAAGGTGCTGGTTCCTACTTTACCAGAGGAAGTCCAAAAGGATAACATGCAGGATGAAGCACCTGATGCAGAGGACTATCAGGAAGCCAATAGTTTTCCTCAAACATTTCAAGAAGACAATGTACAGGCTCTCTTTCCAGCTGAAACATCCGTGTTCTCAACTCCAAAATTTACGTTCAAGTAAGATTTTATGAGTTCAAGACTTTTGAGTCAAGTTGTAAACAAAACCTGAAGAGATGTGTTCTGCTCTTGTGTTAGCTTCAGTCCCACCAGCTCTTCTCATCAAGGTACTCCCGAGTCAGCTAAATCTTCAGCTTTTGTTCTCAATCTGAACTCCAATGTTAGCACACCTGGATTTCCTGGATTTGGATTTGATGTTGGCCCATCCCAGGAAGAAGTAGGAAGTTCGCTGAAGGAAAAAACTAAATCCAACAGCAATTGCTCTTTCTTGGTTTCAGAGTTAACTATAGTTGTCATTGCAGGAATCCTCTTTTGCTTTTTCTGGCTCTTTTTTCGACGACAAGGTGAGGTTCGCATTACAAGGTATTAGACCTTATATCTGGAGAAAAGATACTGAGGGATGTTCATCTTCTTTACAGAAAGCCACAGATGCTAAATCTTCAAGTAGTAAGTATCTGTTCAGAAGCTGTTTTATTACCTCTGGGTGCATCCCAATAAATTAAAATGTCATTTAAAAGTTTATTTATTTCAGTACATGAAAAGTGAAACTTATGTTTAGATTCATTGCAACCAGTGTGTTCTGCTCACAAAGTTTATTTTCAATAATTTTAATAAATATGGCTTAAAGCTAATAAAAAACAAGATTAATTTTCTCAGATTAACAAAAAATAAATAATACCAATAGTTGGTCGGGACTCTTTTTGCATGAATTACTGCATCAGTGCAGTATAGCATTGCAGTTATCAGCCTGTGGTTCTACTGATGTATCCAGAAGAACGACATCTCATCTTCCTTTTGTCTTTACTGCACAGTTTCTCTATGGGGGTTTGGTCAAGTGAGTTTGCTGGACAGTCAAGAACAATAAAACCATGGTAACTGAACAAGGTATTGGTACTTTGGACAACGTGAGCAATTAAATCAGCATCTTCATAAAACCTAATAGTCAAAGTTGACTGTAACTAGCAAATGACAAGACATCACTGACCATGGGAAGTTCACATTAGACCTCAAGCACATCCAATTTTGTGTCTTGACACTCCTTCAGTCTTTTGCAAGATTCTTATTTCCAGAGAGAGAAAATGTTGGGTTTTTTGTTAGCTGTGAACCATGCCCATGAAAATGAGAAATTAACTCTTGAAATATATCAGTCTGTGTCCATATAAATTAAACATTTGAAACCACCTTACTCGAATCAATTAACCCTTCGATTTGGGATATGATTTTTCTAGCCACTGAGTTCCTGTTTGACCAACCAGAGCAAAGTGAAGACTTCCAGTTTGCCTTTACAAGCAAGAGTCCTGAGTCAAGCAAGAAAAACTCCAAAGATG